AAGGAGGGCCGGAGGAGGAGTTAGGAGTTTAGCGCAGTCGCCGGAGTGCGAGGACAACGACCATCCGGCCAGAGCCTAGCCCGGCGGGAGCTGGGAGCTTCGCTTTCTCAGCGCGGCCCACCTTCGGCTCCTCCTTGCCGTGGCCTCCGCCTTCTCCCCGCGCCGGAGGAGTTGCGAGATGCTGCGCCTCTGACTCCCTTTCTCCCGCCTCTGTCACCGAGAGGGGGAACGAGCGCTCGCCCACTCCCCGGAGGAGACGGCCCTGGACTCCCAGCTCCACCGGCGAAACCATGAGCTCCGGCCAGCAGCAGCAACCGCCGCCGCGGAGGGTCACCAACGTGGGGTCCCTGCTGCTCACCCCGCAGGAAAACGAGTCCCTCTTCACCTTCCTCGGCAAGAAATGTGTGGTCAGTTGACGAGACCCGCGTCGCCACAGCCGACGTTGCCTCACGGGCCCGGGCTTGAGGGCCGGGAAGTGGGAGTGGGGAAGGAGGCGCGAGCCGCGCGGGGACGGTCCGGCCGCTGGCCAGGCCTTCTCCCGGCCCCGCATCGGCCTCTGGCTTCGCTCCTTAGGTGCGGGCAGCGCGGGCCGCGGCGGCCGTATGCCGCCGCCTGGAGCTGACCGGTAGCAGGGAAGTGTCACCTCAGCAGGCCTGTCCTGGAGCCCTACTTGACCGGGCCCTCGCCCTTGCTGCTGGTGCAAACTTTACTCAGGCCCCAAGGCGATTTTCTTCTTGCACGGGCAGCTGGATCTTTGTAACCGGGCCCCTGTCCTGGTCCTCGCTGCACTTCCTACCGTTAGATCTGGGGGTACCTTCCTTCACAATGCCAGAGGGTTTAGGAGTGGCATAGGTCGGGAAATAGAGACCCCCCAATATGAATGAATTGGACCAGAAGATGGTTTTCATTTCCCCCTTAGGATCTCAGGAGGGAATGATGTCGAGTGCATGGATTCAGAGGAGGGCAGGAAATGCTACTATTCCTCACTGCAGAGAAACGGGGTTTATTTCTCCAGGAATCTCGCGCAGGCCTGGTTTTTACTCTCTTCCTCAGTGATTTATTTATTTATTGTTTTTTTTATTTTTATTTTTTGGCATTTGTGGGAGGAGGTGCTGCTCTCCACACAACCGTGCGCAGGGCAACCACAGTCTTTGGTAGTTCTTGGCCTTTTGGGGCCTGAGAATGATTCTCAGGTTGGTGTGTGTGGCCTGTTCCGACCCCAGATGGCCGTTGGGAGCGAACAGTTATGCTGTGGGAAGGGGAGTATGTGTTGTTGACGGAAGCGTTCATTACATTGGCTGCTGGCACTTCTGGGGGTGGAGAGGTTCTGTTGTGTGGTGTAGGCCTGTCAGTCTGCATTTTACTGCGGTGGTAGGGTTGAACTGTGGTTCAGTTTGTTGAAACGCTCTTTGGGTCCCTTTCTTTCCTCTTTGCTTGTTAGCATCTGCAGAGTATGTGCCACTGGAACCCAAGAAGACACCTACAGAAATGTCAACAGAGCAGTTTTATAACTTTTCTTAGCAGTGTTAAATGTGTCAAACCAAGCTCCACTTATTTGTTTAAGAAGTTAGGATTAGACAATATCTGGAAAGTTACCGGATTAATTGTTAACTTTATAGGAGTCTGTTTGTATCCTGTTGGAGATTAAATCATCCATTACAGGCAATTCAGATGTATTTCACATTTCAGAAGTTAGACCTTAAAGAACATATTTTGAGTTTGAGTTCTGATTATAGGAATGAACTAAAAGGAGTGGCTTAAAATCAGAATTTTGGGAAACAACTTTAAAGATAATTAAGTCTCACACGCAGCTGTTTTAAACACACAAGAAAACTGGGCCAGTGAGCCCTAAGTCGCACAGCAATTTAGTAATGTAACCAGAACTGGAAAGCCAGGACTCCTGATGCCTAGTTTTCCACTACATCATGCTTTAGAAGGGTTTTTTCTTCCTTGTTATTATTTTTAAAAGTGGTAGAAAAGGAATAATCACTTTTTTTTTTTTTTTACTGAAAACTTATATAATTAAAGTATAAGATTCTTAAAGCGGCACTAAGTTTTGCATATTTTCAATTTAGTTAAATCTCCAGTACTTTAAATGTTAAATTATCAGCAAATGAAAAATAATTATATTTTTGCTGGGTTATTACATTTGCTATGTAATTTGTATCAGAAAGGAGGTAGTTGTATGTGCTGTTTTACTTACCAAACACGTTAACTTTAAGCAGGAAGGACATTATATTTACACACAGGTATTCTGGATTAATTGCTTTGTGCTTACCTGTAACGTTACTGGTTTCAGTAAATGACAAATGTGGAAGAATACTGTGATAAAGAAAGATAGTGTTGCTTACTGGTTAATGTAAGTGGCTTGTCAAATAACCTGTATTCAGTGCTCAATTTCTTTATTATTAATCAACTTTACCTTTTGAATGGCTGTCTTTTAAAACCACATTTATAGTAACTGCCCCTTCTGGTATGAAATTATTGCAAAGATTAACTTTAATGTTTGAAGTCTCCAGTTATTAGAGAGTAAAATAAGAATATTTTAATTTTTTCCCTTTGATGACTATGCAGTTTTTGTAGTTTAAGACAATACTGAAACACATTGTTTCATTAAAAAAAAAAAAAAAATCCAGCAATAAGTTTTACAGATCAGACCAATTTTGTTAAGCACGAAGTGTATTCAGAGTAGTAGTTATAGTGCTAACTCTCGAGGAGTATCTTCTTTTACTCAGTACATACTGAGTAAATGTAGAGGTCGAAACCAGGTTTGATGCCTGTCCTCAGGGAGCTTACTGTGTCTAAAAAAGGAAACGTGTAAACTCATGAGTAAGTCAGTACTTCAGAGTGACTTGTAAGAGGTTGCATGTCACAATGGAAAATGTTTTTGCTTTGTAGTCAGAAGACCAGGGTTCTAATTCATATGATCACTTTGGATAAGTTTCTTAAGCTCCCTATCCTAGAATTGGTTTTGTCATCTCTAAAATAGGGATACTGTCTCATGAGGTGGCTGTGTGGGTGAGAAGGACTATATGTAAATATGTGGATGCTATTATTTTTATAAAGATTTAGGGGATCAAAAGAGAAGATGAGTAAAAACTTTTTAAAATGGACTATACCTGCATATTTAAGATGAGTAGGTACTACCTCAGGTTGATGAGAGGTATGAAACAGATTGGAAGTCCGGGGACCTACTAATAATATGTTATAGAAAGAGGAAGGTTTCTGCTTGGGTTCTCAAATTTAGGTATGCATTGGCATCATGTGGAGAGTATTACAAATGCATATGGCTAGGCCGAATTCCTAGGTGATACTCAAGTTCAGTGGGTTTGATGTGGAACTTAGCTATTTCTATTTTTAGCAGGCTTAACAAGACTAACAAGTATCACAGTTTAAGAACTAGTTCTGATGTGTACTCTTTTCTGGTAGGGTTGATGCTGAAGCACATTGGAAATGGTAACAGGTATTTCCCTCAGCTTTTGGTCTATATTTTATGAGTTAAGGTTAAATTAAGTTAAAACAAGTTCTTTTAGAACAGCATTTCTCTAACTCCTTAAGATAACAGTGTGTGTTTCATAGATGTAAGAGAGATACAGTTGAGGAAGCATTGGACTAATAAGTGGAGAACCACAAGATCAGATTTGTGTTTTTGAAAGTTGAGGGAGAAAGGTGGAGGGAGGCATGCTAGAAGGTGGATCAAGGATTGTGAGAGTGAAGACAAAGGAGATCAGATAGATTTTTACAGTAGTCGATGTGAAATATGATCAGGGCCTGAATTAAGGCAGTGCTGGTGGGAATTCAAGGACAATTAAAAAGACTGCGGTAGGATTACATCCCCCTTAGATAAAAGGGGTGAGGGAAGAGAATTGTCATAAAGGCAAATATAACCACCAGCAGGAGAAGTATGCAGAACTCTCTTACTAAATGGAAATATGCCTAGATATTAATGAGACTCGGAATTGCTGATTGGTTTCATGGAGGAGGTGAATCTTCAGAAAATCTATTGTTTTGCCAGTTTTTAAAATTAGCTTTTGTGAAAGTTGAGGTTTCATTTAAAGTTATATGTAATATATAAATATATGTTCTGTACTTTTGCATAAAGTTCATTAGCTGGTAGTATTTTCTTAGAACAATTAAGAAGAGTTAAAAACAAGATAATCAGGTCTTGTTTTATAGTTTTGTTGCTTATCATGTGGTCTGATTTTACTTATTTTCTGTAAAGAATGTGTGCCATCTTGCCAAGTAGAGTTTAATATGTCTAGTCCTGAATTAGAAATTAGGGATTGAGAATAATAAAACCTTACACTAGCCCTCTTCAACCATTCGTGGTCCGAATGAATTAGAGTTAGTAATGTTGTTTCCCTGTCATACTCACCTGGTTTGTTTGCTTCAAGATTTAATGATACTTAAGCCATTTTTATTAACCAACTTTAATCTTCATTTCCTTTAACTCCTTAGCACTTGTTTTAACTTGCTTGTATTCTTTAGCTTTTTTTTTCCCCTCACCCTATATATAATTCTGAGAGATTAGACCTTATACCTATATAGTCTACTATATAATTTTTTCTACCATGTAGCATACAGATCACTGAATACTTATTGACTGAGTAATTATAATTGCTAACTTATTTGTTCCTTAGGAGTTCATTCAGCATTTCTCATTGCTTGATTAGGTTGTTAAAACTTATTTCTAATGCAGATGATATCTGGACTTAAGTCTTCATTTGTTAAGAGAACAAAGTGGTATAATTCTGTTGCTGAATTAATATAGGTGTGGCAGTAACTCCAATGGTTACTTTGTTTCTGTTCTAAATTCTTAAATAGGTTAAGATGGAGAGGTGCCTCGAGGGATCATTGTCTTGATGATGAAGGGCTGAATTACTAGTGGGAAGTTAGAATTGGGAATGTATTTCAGTTTGAGTAATGTGAAAGGAAAAAAGGTTAAAATTGATGAGATTGGGAATATACAAAAAACAAAAGGCAACCTTGCCTAGTAAAGAAGTAAAAGGTGACTGCAAAAGTGTCCTACAGGGTGGACTAAAAGCACAGGAGATTTGGAAGAATCCAGCAGACATGGGTTATAAATCCTGTTTCTTGTTATTCTTAGCTCTATAATATAGGAAAATATCTTAACCAGTATGAGCTTTAGTGTCTAGATTTGTAAAAAAAGGGGGTAGTCAAAGATTTTAGGAAAGAATGCAATAATGTATGTATAGCACTTAGAGTGCCTGACACTTATAAAGTATTCTGGGAGTTTGGAGAAGCATATAAAAGAATGTTATTATTACTATTACTCAGTTTAGATTTCCTGTTACTGGCAGGGAGGTTTTAAAGTAAAATTTTGAACTGTATTTTATATTTGTTTTGATTTTGATAACTTAATTCTAACAATTTAAAGTCAGTTAAT